ATATATATATATATATATATATATATATGTATGACGTTACAATTATTCAAAATAATTATAAAACCATAGTATATATATGTATAAGGTATCTATTTTACTGAGAAATTTACATTAAACAAATAGATGTAATAGAGTTTTTGAAAACCAAATAAACAAAAAACATACTATTTATACTTGTTAAAATAATAATAGAATCCTATAATTTAAATTTAAAGAAGGTCGCTGACTTGAGCGTCAAGGTGTTTTTTACAGACATCCTTCCCTAGGAGTTGGACAAGTAGAAGAAAAACAACAACACAACTGGACATCGGAATAGACAACTTTGAATGTTTTGGATTAGGGTTCTAAATTCGGACAAAACAATATGTATTTTAAATAATGAAAGTGATTAATGAAAATCCTACCAAAACAAAACAATATGTATTTTAAATAATGAAAGTGATTAATAAAATTCTATTTATACATATGAAAATAATAGAATCCTATAATTTAACAATATAATATACCATTGAACTACCTATTATTCCTTTATGTAACTCATTACCATTTTTCTTATTTGTTAAAATATGTTGCATTGGAAATTACCTTTTCGTACTTGTATTAAAATGATTAATATCATCATAGGGTTACTTTTCTAATTTTTCTCTTACTATTTATAGAGGACATTGTAGGAGAGAAAGAAGTAAGCTAAACCAGAGTCTATAGCATACCCTTGTCACCCACAAAATGGCCTCACTTCATACCCTAAAGCCTCACGCTGTGTGTGTGCCATTCCCAGCACAGGGACACATAAGCCCCTTGATGCAATTAGCCAAACTTCTTCATTGCATGGGTTTCCACATAACCTTTGTGAACACTGAGTTCAACCACAACCGTTTTGTTAAGTCCCATGGAGCAGACTTTGTAAAGGGTCTCCCAGATTTCACATTTGACACCATACCCGATGGCTTGCCACCTTCAGATAAGGATGCAACGCAGAATCTTCCTCGACTGAGTGATTCAGTTAGGAAAAACTGTTATGCTCCATTCAAAGAATTTGTGATGAAGCTTAACTCTTCACATGTTGTGCCTCCGATTAGTTGCATAATTGCTGATGGGATTATGGGCTTTGCTGCAAAAGTTGCTACGGATTTGGGCATACCAGATGTTCAATTCTGGACAGCATCAGCATGTGGCTTAGTGGGATATTTGCAATTTGATGAACTCGTGAAAAGAGCCATTATCCCATTCAAAGGTGCGTCTTTATTTTGTTGTCTCTCTTATTTTCAAGGTTTAATAGTTGAATTATTATAGTTGTGTATTAAATATATAAGATTACATAAAATCTTTATATCTTTGTCATACGAAAACTGGCTAACTTATTTCTGTCAAAATTTTAGATGAAAATTTTGAGAATGAAGGAACCTTGGAGAAAAGTTTAAATTGGATCTCAGGACTGGAAGATATAAGACTAAAAGATATTCCAAGCTTTATTAGAGTCACTACTCTAGATGATATTTTGTTTGATTTCTTGAATGTTGAAACGAAAAATTGTTTAAGATCATCTTCAATCATCATTAACACATTTGAAGACTTGGAGGAAAAAACCCTAGAATATCTTAAGGCCAAAAACCCAAACATATATAACTTTGGTCCACTTCACTTGCTTAGTAGGCCTTTTCCAGAGAAAGAAAATGGTTTCATGTCAACTGGGTCAAGTTTATGGAAAAATGACTCGTAGTGCTTAGCATGGTTAGACAAATGGGAACCTAACTCAGTCATATATGTTAACTATGGAAGTATAACGGTAATGACAGAGCATCATTTGAAAGAGTTTGCATGGGGACTTGCAAATAGCAAGCTACCTTTCTTATGGATAACTAGGCCAGATTTAGTAATGGGTGGATCTGTAGTTTTGCCACATGAGTTTTTTGATGAGATCAAAGGTAGGGGATTCATAACACATTGGTGCATTCAAGAGCAAGTGCTTTCTCATCCATCTGTTGGGGTTTTTCTAACCCATTGTGGCTGGAATTCTACACTTGAAAGCATATCTGCTGGTGTGCCTATGATGTGTTGGCCGTTTTTCGCAGAACAGCTAACAAATTGTAGGTATATATGCACAACTTGGGGGATAGGAGTTGAAATTAATCACGATGTAAAAAGAGAAGAGATATCAACGCTTGCAAAGGAAATGATGAAGGGAGAAAAAGGAATGGAAATGAGACAAAACTGCTTAGAGTTGAAGAAAAAAGCAGCAAGAGCTATACAAGTTGGAGGATCATCTTACATTGATTTCTATAAGTTTATAAAGGATGTTCTTCACCACAGTAATTAATGTTCTTTGATTCCTGTTCAAGGGATTTACTAAGGTTGATTAGTTAAATAAAAATATATAGTAAGGACCTGGTTGTTCTATATATATATAAGTAAAGAATAAGAATTTTATTTGTGAGTCTTAATTATGTAATATTGGTGTGTCGAGTATCGGTTTTATTTGGGGTTTAAGACGGAGTTTACTGCAATGCTTTGCCTAAAAGGCAAGCTCGTTTACTCTTTTCCTTGTATTATGTTTATTACTATATTAATGTATTCTTCAATTGCTGAAAGAAAAGTTATTATGGAGAAGGAGATATCAAGAAAATAAATTCTCTATATTTATAAATATACACATACAGAAATTAATTATAAGCACAACAGTGATGTGACTGTCTTTTCACGTTACATGACATCAAGTCTCTTTGCAATGTATTGATCATTTGTGTTAAAACTGGAAAAATAATTATTAAAAGAGTTCTTTATAGATTAAAATTAATTTACGTATAAATTCTGTTTTATAAAACTTCTAAAAAATTTATATTTTTAATTTATATTTTAACTTGTTAATAAATATATTTAATTATCTTATTTTCCTTTAATTAATGTGTTCTAACGTAACAAAAATCTATCGAAAATCCTACCAAAACAAAACAATATGTATTTTAATATATATATATATATATATATATATATGTATGACGTTACAATTATTCAAAATAATTATAAAACCATAGTATATATATGTATAAGGTATCTATTTTACTGAGAAATTTACATTAAACAAATAGATGTAATAGAGTTTTTGAAAACCAAATAAACAAAAAACATACTATTTATACTTGTTAAAATAATAATAGAATCCTATAATTTAAATTTAAAGAAGGTCGCTGACTTGAGCGTCAAGGTGTTTTTTACAGACATCCTTCCCTAGGAGTTGGACAAGTAGAAGAAAAACAACAACACAACTGGACATCGGAATAGACAACTTTGAATGTTTTGGATTAGGGTTCTAAATTCGGACAAAACAATATGTATTTTAAATAATGAAAGTGATTAATGAAAATCCTACCAAAACAAAACAATATGTATTTTAAATAATGAAAGTGATTAATAAAATTCTATTTATACATATGAAAATAATAGAATCCTATAATTTAACAATATAATATACCATTGAACTACCTATTATTCCTTTATGTAACTCATTACCATTTTTCTTATTTGTTAAAATATGTTGCATTGGAAATTACCTTTTCGTACTTGTATTAAAATGATTAATATCATCATAGGGTTACTTTTCTAATTTTTCTCTTACTATTTATAGAGGACATTGTAGGAGAGAAAGAAGTAAGCTAAACCAGAGTCTATAGCATACCCTTGTCACCCACAAAATGGCCTCACTTCATACCCTAAAGCCTCACGCTGTGTGTGTGCCATTCCCAGCACAGGGACACATAAGCCCCTTGATGCAATTAGCCAAACTTCTTCATTGCATGGGTTTCCACATAACCTTTGTGAACACTGAGTTCAACCACAACCGTTTTGTTAAGTCCCATGGAGCAGACTTTGTAAAGGGTCTCCCAGATTTCACATTTGACACCATACCCGATGGCTTGCCACCTTCAGATAAGGATGCAACGCAGAATCTTCCTCGACTGAGTGATTCAGTTAGGAAAAACTGTTATGCTCCATTCAAAGAATTTGTGATGAAGCTAAACTCTTCACATGTTGTGCCTCCGATTAGTTGCATAATTGCTGATGGGATTATGGGCTTTGCTGCAAAAGTTGCTACGGATTTGGGCATACCAGATGTTCAATTCTGGACAGCATCAGCATGTGGCTTAGTGGGATATTTGCAATTTGATGAACTCGTGAAAAGAGCCATTATCCCATTCAAAGGTGCGTCTTTATTTTGTTGTCTCTCTTATTTTCAAGGTTTAATAGTTGAATTATTATAGTTGTGTATTAAATATATAAGATTACATAAAATCTTTATATCTTTGTCATACGAAAACTGGCTAACTTATTTCTGTCAAAATTTTAGATGAAAATTTTGAGAATGAAGGAACCTTGGAGAAAAGTTTAAATTGGATCTCAGGACTGGAAGATATAAGACTAAAAGATATTCCAAGCTTTATTAGAGTCACTACTCTAGATGATATTTTGTTTGATTTCTTGAATGTTGAAACGAAAAATTGTTTAAGATCATCTTCAATCATCATTAACACATTTGAAGACTTGGAGGAAAAAACCCTAGAATATCTTAAGGCCAAAAACCCAAACATATATAACTTTGGTCCACTTCACTTGCTTAGTAGGCCTTTTCCAGAGAAAGAAAATGGTTTCATGTCAACTGGGTCAAGTTTATGGAAAAATGACTCGCAGTGCTTAGCATGGTTAGACAAATGGGAACCTAACTCAGTCATATATGTTAACTATGGAAGTATAACGGTAATGACAGAGCATCATTTGAAAGAGTTTGCATGGGGACTTGCAAATAGCAAGCTACCTTTCTTATGGATAACTAGGCCAGATTTAGTAAAGGGTGGATCTGTAGTTTTGCCACAAGAGTTTTTTGATGAGATCAAAGGTAGGGGATTCATAACACATTGGTGCATTCAAGAGCAAGTGCTTTCTCATCCATCTGTTGGGGTTTTTCTAACCCATTGTGGCTGGAATTCTACACTTGAAAGCATATCTGCTGGTGTGCCTATGATGTGTTGGCCGTTTTTCGCAGAACAGCTAACAAATTGTAGGTATATATGCACAACTTGGGGGATAGGAGTTGAAATTAATCACGATGTAAAAAGAGAAGAGATATCAACGCTTGCAAAGGAAATGATGAAGGGAGAAAAAGGAATGGAAATGAGACAAAACTGCTTAGAGTTGAAGAAAAAAGCAGCAAGAGCTATACAAGTTGGAGGATCATCTTACATTGATTTCTATAAGTTTATAAAGGATGTTCTTCACCACAGTAATTAATGTTCTTTGATTCCTGTTCAAGGGATTTACTAAGGTTGATTAGTTAAATAAAAATATATAGTAAGGACCTGGTTGTTCTCTATATATATAAGTAAAGAATAAGAATTTTATTTGTGAGTCTTAATTATGTAATATTGGTGTGTCGAGTATCGGTTTTATTTGGGGTTTAAGACGGAGTTTACTGCAATGCTTTGCCTAAAAGGCAAGCTCGTTTACTCTTTTCTTGTATTATGTTTATTCCTATATTAATGTATTCTTCAATTGCTGAAAGAAAAGTTATTATGGAGAAGGAGATATCAAGAAAATAAATTCTCTATATTTATAAATATACACATACAGAAATTAATTATAAGCACAACAGTGATGTGACTGTCTTTTCACGTTACATGACATCAAGTCTCTTTGCAATGTATTGATCATTTGTGTTAAAACTGGAAAAATAATTATTAAAAGAGTTCTTTATAGATTAAAATTAATTTACGTATAAATTCTGTTTTATAAAACTTCTAAAAAATTTATATTTTTAATTTATATTTTAACTTGTTAATAAATATATTTAATTATCTTATTTTCCTTTAATTAATGTGTTCTAACGTAACAAAAATCTATCCAAACAATCTTTGTAATAAAAAAACAATTAATTAATTCATTACCATACGTATTGACATGTTTTGTTAGTAGTATAATAAGTAAAAAAACATTATTAGTACGAAAATTTTAATTTTGTTAACTTTATTTTTACTATAATAATAATTAAGGTAACTGTTTTGTTTTTTTAGTAATTGTCACGTGTTTTGAAGGGAACAATGATGATTTCAAATTTACAAAGGAAAATGCAAAGGTAAATGTAAAATTCTTGAAAATGGTATTTTAGAAGTTGTGGTTGTCTAAAAATAGTGAGACTCGATTATTTTAATATTAAATAGTTTTATTATAAATAAAATTTGTTATAAACGAGTTTCATTATTTTAAAACGTTTCATTTATCTAGAAAATACTTTTTTTAGAGTTTTCTACCCTCCCTCTAAAAGTTCTAACTCTTAAGTAATCTCTTTGACGATCAGGAAGTATCAAATCGATCACGGTGTCAAGGTCTACAAATCTAACCGACCAATTTCAAGAATAGAGCAAGTAAGTTTTAACTCATTTTTCTCCTTCCGTTCCCAAATATGTTTTAGAAGAATCTTGTACTATTGCATGTGTAATCATGCCTCACCTACATGTTTGTGGTTCATCTAGAGTTCTAAGGACTCTATGCGTTTGCAATTTGGTGTTTCGTAGGTTCGTCTAGGTTTTCCTTGAGGTTCAAGTAATCTGCGGAGCATTCTTGGAGTTGGGACAATTGTTTGTGTGGTAAGGGAAGCTAGACCTTGTCTTATTTGTGATTGTAGTGTAAATTTAGTATTTATGAAATTTATAGATGCTTTAGTAAAAATTGGCATGTTTGGGTAAAATTGATGATGTTAAATTGGTGTTTTGATGATATGGTGTTATTATAATTGGTATGATGACATGATTGTTGCTGTATACTATTGTGATTGTGGGTGATAAGGGTATTTTATTGTTTGAAACATAATTCTAGTAGTTGTGAAAGTATTGATCAAGTTACTTAGAGTTCAAGCTTAATTTAGAAATAGGTATAGGAATGTTCTGGGAATTGTTTTTGTAATGTCATAAGGTAATTTGAATTGTTTGGAGGGATAAATGGTTAAAAGCGGTGTGCAACAAAAAGAGTGGTCTAGAGGAGTTGTTGTCTAGTGTTTATAGTGTAAAAAAAGGGTTTAGAGTATTAAAATGTTGAGGTAAGTAGTATATTCTATTTTGAAGGGTTAGAAGAATGTTATTACAACATTTAGGACTTGTCTAAGTACTAAAACAAGAAAAATCTGTTATGAAATGGTAAATGGATTCATAGGTTGACATTTTAGCCCATTTTAGAGGCTCTAAGGGTTGAAAATGAGAAGTATGATAGTTGGGACAAATATAAAGTTTTGGAGAGTGCTAGCAAGTATATTTGGACTGGTTTATGCAAGTTGTAAACTGATTTGGAAGT